CCCCAAAACCCCAAAACCCCAAAACCCCAAAACCCCGTCTTTTGATTTTTTTATTGTAAATTATTAAATTCTAAGAAATGGCTGACTTCATAGAACATTTCCGACAATATAAACTGGAGATACAGCAAAGGTAGACTTCTAGTGCTTAACCTTAGACAACCAAGCTTTGAAATGATACAGAATATATGCTCCAGAGAAGAGAGCTCAAAAGATATAGATAAACCCCAAGAGGCTGAGAATATCCCTTTAGAATTTAATTCCATGAACCCTTCTCCTCAGATCGACCAAGATAGCATCGAATATGGAGTGAAAGAGTGTATAATTCCTATACTTCTTGTTCTTGCCATGGCCACATATACAGAGAACTATGAGTTCCTTTTTGGAAGTATAGTAGCGTTTGCCTTTATATATTCAAAGTTTTATGAGTCAATCCCAAACCTTTTCAGAAACTTTACCTTAGTCTTCATTTGAGGAGTAGTTTTATACCTCTCAAATGGAGAATATTATCAATTAGCAGCAATGATGGTACTGGTCTATGCTCCTTTTCATACACTTTTGAAAGAATACTCCGGAAGTTTCAATCTAGTAGACATATTCAGTCTTTTGGTTTTCAACTGAATTTTCTTGATCTTTTGGGCTGAAAATTTTTGGAAATTCTGGCAAATTGGAATCCAAAACAAAGACTTGGATGAATATGAACCTTTTGATGGGGATCAGCTGAACTCTCTAGGAGATATTCCTGAAGTTCTACTTTATTTCAGCCCATATGTCATCCTCAACTTTTCTGGAGTTCTCTTCGGAATATCTTTGTGAATATCATCTAGAAAGACAGAAAAATATTTTTAAAGCATATTGTCTCTGCTTTGTGATTGTCTCAACTATGAGTAAGTCAAAATGAGTTACCAAATAGTTCTTTTCTGAGTAATGGTGGCTGTCAGTCTCCTTTCCTCTTCAGAGTTTAACATATTGACCTTCTTGATGTCAGAGTAAGCCTGTCTTCTGATGTTTAGACTATCCAGGATTTTAACAAGTGGAGTCTTTTGGTAAGTCAAGTGCTGAACTTAAACTTACAGGTACATGTTCTTTTGTCTTCCATTATGACTGATAGGTATTGCCAAGTACACAGGAGGTAAGAACGGTTGTAAACTCTAGATGATGTATTCATGACTAGGAAACTTTTCCATTTCACTGCTCTGGCTTTGTTCTTACCAGCTGTGATAGCTAACCAGAAAATCATGGTTTTTGGTTCAAATCTTGCTATAGTGCTTTTTATAATCATTGAGTTCAGTAAGAAATATAGTAGTGGTACTTGTCTCGCTAAGATACATGAGTATGAAGAGACATATTTAGATGATAGAGAAAAGAATAGGGATGGCCTTGTTTTGTCCCATCTCTTCCTCCTCCTCGGATGCAGTATTGGAACAATCTCAAGTTATATCTTGTTAGACGGAGATGATTTTGACTTTAATGCAGTACTTTATTCATTATCAGGGCTCATCTTTGTTGGAATTGGAGATTCAATGGCAGCTCTTGGTGGTAGATCCTTTGGAATGACCAAATGGCCAGGAAGACATAAAAGTAGAGAAGGATCAATTTTCTGCATATGTGCTTATATGTTTACTTATGTACTGGCTCTGATATTTGTACAAGCACTTTCTTCAACAAAGAATCAGCATTTTCCAGGATATTTATACATCGGTATTGAAATCTTTATATCAGGAGTTATAGCAACTATTGTCGAAGCACTTACATATCAATTTGACAATTTCCTATGCCCTCAAATCTGCTTCTCCTTTATTGTCTTGATTGATCATTGTTTCCAGGAATTTATTCTAGACTTGTAAAAAGATTCAATTTTCCCATCTAATAAGGGGTTTTGGGGTTTTGGGGTTTTGGGGTTTTGGGG